GGTGTACTTGCTTCATATTTTATCAACAGTCCGTGATTATGTCAATTTATGCGGAGGAAACAGCGACAATGCACACTTCCGTTTGTCACATTAGGACAGCTAGGCACGGATGAAGTGAGGTATAACCCACTTTAGGCGCAAGTCACCACTGCGCCCTCGGGACAGTGGCGGTGTATGAACTACCAGGCCCTTGAGCCGAATTGTTACCAGCTTTTCGCATAGGGAACGTTGGGAAAGACACTGACAGGTTGTCAATCGGAGTCAGTGTGTGTATTTTGTGCGTCCGCTGAGCGACATGTCCAGGAAAAGTTAAAAAATGCACTGCGTAGGCTCATTTTTGAGAGAATAACAGTTAAAATACATAAGCAGCTCACTAAGAGTGCAACAGGCCAGACACAGACGGCTGTTTCACGATCGTTATCGATCATCAATACGTCATAGGCCATGTGAGGTGAGGTATATATACATGTCAAGCAAGTGTTTGAGCCTCACTGTTGAGATGGGGATCTCACTCGATCCCATCCTGTCCGCCCGTCGGCTTGCTGCTGACGACAACGAACATTGTCCCATAGGACACATACCACATATAAGACATTAGCAGTTGGTGTTGTGACTAACCTTGAGCTGTAATCACAGTCTGATGCTGCTGTTGAACTTGCTGATACTGTTCCTGCATGGCGGTCTGCGGATACTGATGTTGCAATAGATAGGCTTGTTGGGTCGACTGTTGATGGGTCGGCTGCTGTTGCTGTGTTTGTTGTGCCGACTGCTGTTGTCCGGCTACAACCCCCGCCGCTGCGATAGACGGAGCCATGGCCATCCTTGCATTTTGTGTCGCACCGCGATTAAGACCCGGATGCACAGCACCGGAGGCAACAAATACAGCGTGTTGCTGTGGGTGGGTGTGGAAGAGCTGGGCGGTGCCTCCGACAACTGCAAATTGTTGAGACTGCCCACCAACAGTTGCGGTTGCGCCCGTTGGTAGGGCATCCACCGGGATGGAAGCCAGAGGGAGGGTGGTGGGAGTGAGCGGTAAGTGAAGTTGCTGTCTTTGTGATTGATTCAGTTCGCCCACTGTTGGTGCCAAACGCGTTGCGGCAGTGGAAGTAGTCCTGGATGCCTTGAAAGTTGAGGACCCCCTGGTTGAGGCTTTGTGTGTCCCGCCAGCACTGGCGCCAGCGACTCCAGCCCGACAGGGGGACTTAGGTGATTTAGACTTCCGGGCGCCGCTTGAGATGGCTGGAAGCGGAGATGTCCCGCTAGGCAAAAAAGACCCCGGCAGGGTGTGCCCCCCGGCCGTGTTTGACATGCTGCAGGCGAAAGAGATTTCGGATCCCGTAGAGCTGAAGGTGTTCGCGGCGCTTGAGCCTCCTGTGATAATACCACCCGTACGAGACTGCAAATTGTCCTAGGGGAAATTAATATTTGTTGGATGCTGTGCAAATGCCAGAGCGAACACTGGTGGTGGTGGTGGTGGTGGTGGTGGTGGTGGTGGTGGTGGTGGTCTCTTCAGCCAAACAATGCATTCAGCCCACAAAAGTCACAGGCTTTGGAGAACTAGCTGCAGTGCTTACTACAATTTAGTCTGAATGCCATCTAATGACAAAATGTGACTGATCAGTGCCAAACAGGGTGACTGAATGGTGTAAAACACTAACCAACTACTTTTTGGTTTTGTCAAGTAAACAAACTATTTGGAGCTCTTGAACCAGCTCTATATTTTAAGGAAAAATAACTCCCGAAAAGGCGGCAACGGCAGGATGCAACTTGAACTACAGGGAAAGGCACGTCTGTGCGGGTTGCTAACGACACTTACCCGATTCCAGTTGTGCTGCTGACCGAGTATGTTCATCACATTCTGCATGACAATTGCGTCTTTTTGTTCCTCATTCAACTCCTGATCGCGAGCATGCCT